AAGAGCCGAAAGCCTCCATTGCCATTAGAGTCCTGACTCTGCGAGGAGTCATTTGTCATTCCCTTCCATCCTTTGCTGAGCTGCTTGCTGGAATGGCAGGGGCTGGAGGAGGGAGGGAAGATGGCAGATGTCTGGCTTGTTCACATGGTGTTTAGTTGTGCACTTGCTTGTGTTTTTTGGTGCCCCCCAATCTGTGAATCCGTTTGACGTACCACAGAGCAGTTTATATACCTGTTTAAAAACGTGTCCAGCCCCAAGAGATGCAGAGCTGCTGACCAAGCTCATTTTCCATGTTTGTGAAGCTGTATTTTTAAAAGCAGGCTGATCTTATACTAAGCAGTAAATACTGGTCCTGCAGTCTTGGAGTTAGTTCTTTTTTGTCAATGTAGGCTGAGACTATTGTTTTGGAGGAATGTTATTTAAAATAACACAGCATTTTTAAGTCAGACTTAAGGGAGGATCTTTTTTAGCTTTTTCGCTACTTCAGTCTTGTCTGTGAAATTGTGAGATGTTTGTATGGTCTCTGCTGTAGATCAAGCTATATAGCATTAAAATGTTGTTCCTTATCCAGTTTGTAGAATTACTGAGTGAAATAAACAGTATCAGGTTTTTCTCAAGCCACTACAATTACACTAACAAAAGCATGGGTTTGCTGGTATGGATTGTACTGCACTAGATGAATGTCCCCACACCAATGAACCTTTTTTAGTGTGCAGTCTAACCATGTTTTCCTGGTCTGGGCAAATGCTAAGTACAAAGGGCTAAGTGACCCAGAATTAGGACCTGAGCTCTCAGACAGTCTTCCTGTTAATGGCTCAGTTCCTCTTTGAAGATAAATCCTATCTCTGGTATGCAGAAGCAGATTTGTTTTTGACATCAACTCCGGTGTGCTGCAGCCTGTTTGCTTTTCCCAAGGACACAAAGGACAGCGTGGCCTCAATCACCATTCTCCTCCTCACCCGCAGCAGCAAGTCAGTACATCCATAGTGTTCTCCTGGCTATCGTCGTTGTTCTAATATATACGCTGTTATCAGGGTGGTAGTAGTGCTTTTTTTCTGTGTCAGCAGATTAAAAGATTATTTCTGTCATCCCATGTCCAAAAGCACACACAGATACCGAAGAATATACTTGAAAGAAAAGGGACTATATTCGTTTCTCAGTTAAAAAAAAAAAAAAAAAAAAAAATCTAATAGTAGAGAAATCTACTTGGCAGGAGCTGTATTGGTATAGAGCTAGCACCTAGGTATAGGTGCAACAAGTTTACTGAGAAGGGAGGATCATAGGGTGGTAGCTTCATGCTTTTAGGTTGTGCTGCAGCAGGTGTGTGGTGTGACTGGTAATAGCTGTTCTGGAAATACAGCTTGCAGCAGCCCACCAAAAAAATGCTCTGAAGGAAATCAGGAGAAGCAGTGGAGCAGAAAAGCTCTTAAAAGGGAGTAAGACTAAATGGAGCCTCCAGATGAAAACTAAAAACCTTGTATGTGATCTTGATTGAATGAAAGTGGCATAAGCTAACAAAATTAGTCTCTGCTTAACTTCCTAACACGCTCTCGCACGGAGATCGTTTGGCAAAGGAGCTGCTGTAAAAAACTACCAGCAAGGAAAGTAGCCTTAACAGAATAACCACTAGGGATTTGGGAAACTTGTTTTGAGAAATGAGCACTGTTTGAAGGAGATAAATAGACTAACATAGTAATAAATAGCATTTTAAAATGACTTTAATAGAATGCTAAGTGCTTAAAAGTCAGGAAATGCCAGAACTAGTTTGTGAGCGCCATTGTAGTGCAGCCTGTTTCTAAAATAGTACAGTATCTTGTACATCTTTTATAACCTTCAGTACAAATGAATAATATCTTTTTGTTTGCTATTAATACTCTGTTTTCAGAGATGATTGAAGATATGAAAGAATAAGCAGCACAGGAAATATGACAGGGGTTTCTATTCCTTTAACTGCAAGCTGTCTTGTACGTAGCTATGTGAAAATAAATTGCCATATTGCGTGTATCGCCATTGTACTGTTGAAGCCAATGTCCTCATCAAAAGTGTGCTGAGATGTTTTGGGCACTGAAGGGTTGTGTCTGCCTCCAGCCCCTGAATGATGCATTTTTCCCTCATCCCCAGGGTTTCTTCCATCTGTTGAATGTAAGGGTTTAAGGCGGCCTCACCAAGTTACAGGTTCCAGATACGGTAACATATCTGACACCACATACAAGACCAACAGCTTTAGGGATAAACAGTTTCTCTCTAATTAATGTTGCAATAACAAATTATCGTGGTTTGAGCTCAGAGGGCAGCTGAGCACCACGCAGCTGCTCACACCTCCCTTCTCTCCCAGCGATGAGAAGGGACGAATAAGCCAGGCTTGGGATTCGAGATAGGACAGGGAGGGGCAAATCACCCTTTATGGTCATGGGTAAAAGGCAGACTCATTAGGGGAAGAACAAAGAACATAGATTTACTGCAGATACTAACAACAACACTCAACAGAGTAGGACAGTGAGAAGCATTGCCACATCTTGAGAACACCTTCCCCCCACCCCTCCCTTCTTCCCGGGCTCAGCTCTGCTCCTGATATCTCTACCTCCTCCCCCAGTCGCGCAGGGGCAGGGAATGGGGGGTGCAGCCAGCGCTGCCTCTTCTTCCACCTTCAGTGGGGGGACCTTCTGGAACTTCTTCCTCCTGCTCCAGCATGGTCCCCCTCTCACAGGAGACAGTCCTCCACAAACTTTCTCTGACATGAGTCCCTCCCACGGGCTGCAGCGTTCCCCACACTGCTCCGTCATGGGACACCAACTCTCTCCAACTGGAGTCCCTCCCACGGCTGCAGCCCTTCCTGAGCTGCTCCAGCATGGGACACCCCCGCATGCTGCTGTCCTCCTGGTGCTGAATTATGACAGCGGGGGCTGCCTTTTCCCACAAGACCCCGGCCTTCTTTGGGCACAGCACCTTGATCAACCCGGCGAAACAAAACACAGGCCATAAATCAATGTCTGCTCCACCGTAGATCTCCATGGGTGGCAGGGGGGGCCGCCCTGCCATCTCCCCACAGGATACAGGGGGGTCTCTGCTCCGGCACACCTCCCCCCTCCTTTCTTCCTCCGTTCCTCCACTGACCTTGGTGTTCACACAGCTGCAGCAATTCCTCCTCACAAGTCCCACTGCCCGTCACCACGTCCCTTCTTAAATACGTTATCGCAGAGGCGCAGCTGATGGGCTCAGCCTCAGTGCAGAGGTGGAGCTGGCTTGGAGCTGGGGGAGCTTTGAGAAGCTTCTCACAGGGATCCACCCCTGTAGCCCCCTCCCCTGCCACCAAAAAACCCCACCACTCACTCAAACCCAGGACACAAATACGGATCAGGAGCATGGTTGTCTGGGTTGTCGCAACAAGAAATGCAGTGACTCAGTAGCACAATTGTCCAGGTCAAAGCAACAGCAAATCCAGTAATTCACCAATACTGAGCTAAACTTAATACCTGAGCACGCAAAAACCTGCAAATCCATGGTCATAACCGTGATTACCAGGCAGGCCACCAGTTAGCAGAGCATGGCTTCCTCAGCCGAGTGACCGGGACCAGCCAGCGGGCTCAGGAATTCCCAGGTCCCCCAGTTGGGATGTCCTTTTTTTGAGACATGGGAGCACTATCTGGACTTGTTAATCAACCGTCACATCCCACCTCTGGCCCTGCTCTTTTCCAGTTTTTTGGAGCACATGGGGCTCAATCTGCAGCTTTGGTGACCAGCCTTTTACCAGCTTGAAGGATCTCTGCTGTCTTTTGAACCTCTTCAGATCAAGGTGTTATGCTCTTCAGGAGGGTATAGGGAAGGATGTCTTCCTTCTGCTGGAAGCCATGTTGTCTTCCAGTTGGAAGGATTATTTGTGCAGGCCGGGGCAATCTGGATTGCACTTCTGATGATAAGGTAGCTGAAGTTTACGTCTGTCTGCTTTTCTATATGCAAAGTATCCAATGCTTGAATTGAACTGTGCTGATCATAAAATCAGGATGCACAAAGGTGTCTGTATGTATAACTTCATAAAGTAGTTGGGTTCTCTTCCTTATCCTCCAAATCCCTTTGCACGTTTTTGGGGGTTGGATTAGGAATGCATCAGGCTCGTTTCCTGTTCCCAGGCGTATGTGCTGTCGGACAAAGAGACTGTATCACTTAGCTTTTATAGAGCTCTTGGCTGTTGTCTAAATTCCCTGCAGCTGTAGTAGGTAGCATAATTTACCACTTTTTTTCCAGCATAAGCATCTTTCTAGCCAAATGTGGTTGTCCAGGCGGGTGTTTAAAGGCAAGGTTAGAGGGGGGAGCAAACCCGAAGAGGTCAAGCTCTGCCAAAATTTCAGGAAAAAAACAGGATCTTTATACATTTGGTACTTTTAAAGAGCATTAATGTACCAAATTTTATTGCTATGAAACAGGACCCCAGGCCTTTCTTAGAGCCTTCTGAGGACCCACTTTTAGGATGAGTTTGACTTAATCATAGAAGATATCCCTTTTCTCCATGAGCCCAATATTATCAGCAGAACATCTGTTTTTCTCTGACGCGCTGTGGCTGATCACTGAATACGTGCTGGGACTGCCAGAAGGGTTTTGTAATCTCGGTTTCACACGTAGCCACCTGACCAGCAGCCTCTGCCTGACTTTCCCAGTGTGAAAAGCGGGCAAGGCTGGGTAGCACTGGGTCCAGCATCGGAGAACTGGTTTCGAAAGGCAGCACTGCCTTGTTAGTCAGATGGGTCGGCCGTGTTGTGACTTGATCCCTCAGGAGCGCAGGTTTGCCGCACACCTGCGTGCAGCCCTCTCCGGTGCCCTGACGCTCCTCACCGCTGCAGTGCTTCCCCCGTGAGCCCCAGGCATTTCGTGGTGAGGCCCGGTGTGCCGAATTGCGTCTGAAAGTTATAACCAGATGAGTAGAAAATGAAGTTTTTAGGAAGATGACCTTATTAACAGCACGGCTCAGTGGCAAATTAACAGCTGTCGGCATCCTTTTTGTGCAGGTGCCTATCGATGGGGTCCAGGAGCCGCAGGCGGACGCTACCAAAGGGCGCTGCCTGCGCCGGACGGTGAGCGTCCCCTCCGAGGGCCAATTCCCCGAGTACCCACCAGAGGGGGCCGCCAAACTAGGTAAGTGGAAACCTTGGCCACGAGAAATTGATTTTAATTTATAGCTGCAAGCAGCATCAGAGAGCATTGCTTCCCGGGCAGCATCCTTGCAAGGGAGCCTGCTGAGGTGGTGGTGGAGGTCATGCGACCGTGGCCTTGTTTGTAAAAGCCTCCGGCAAAATGCCTTCCAAACACCAGGATTTATCCAAACATCAGTCAAATTATTACGGGGTATCAGAGAAGCTGGGCTGTTTCTGCACGCAGGAAGGTTTGTAGCTGTGTTTGTAAGATTAGTAGGCAGCCCTGGGATTTGCAACTGAATGCAGGTCAGTAGGAACGCAGCTTTTGCAGACAGCTGTAAGTAGTTCCCACTGGTTTTTAGATCTGTTAGGCGGTTATGTTTTACCTCACTTTGAGTCCTTCTGGAATTTCCTTTGGTTCATATTTTCATAACGTGTACTGGATAACAGGTTTTTCTATATCTTACCTCATGCCTGCTCAGGGTGCAGTTCCTAAAAGAACTAACCAACTGCTTGCTGCTGTTTGCTGTAATTATACATGTTGAAATCTAGAGAAAGCAAAAGAAAGGGCAGGTATTAAAAGTGACAGACAAAAAACTCTGTTGCAGTAGTTTCCCAAGTCCAGATTTGGCCCAGTTCCCCCTCTTTATTCCACCCCACCTGTGATTGCATAAAGAGCATGATTCCAACTCTTTCCAGAAGAAGGGAAGAGTGAAGGGAGGCAGCAACGACACACAAGTGAGCTCTTCTTTCTATTCCCAACCTATTCAAGAACCTTTCGTTGTCATAGGCTAATAGGATCTAGGAGCAATTTTTCCTTAGTTCAGCTGTAAAAAATATCAATCTTGGAAGAGAGTGAGCTTTGAGGAAAAAGGCAACATGCAACTCTAAACAGTAAAGCAGCCTTGATAACATTGTTATCAAAGGGGAAGAGCAGGTAAGGTGTTTTCCATTTCACAGGCTCAACTGGTTTTTATGCCAAAGAATTCTATTCTGTGAGTATACTGCGCACAAGTAATTAAAATCCCAGTCTTCTAGTTAATTAACACATTGCAACTGTAGTACTTATTTATTAGTACTTGCCAATAGCGCTATTTAACTTTTTATTATTTCAGGAAGACAGATAGGATTCTTTTTTTGGATTTGTTTGATTCCTGGATTAGAAGTCTGAAAAGACACAGGGCAGGTTGGGGATTTAGGAAGGAGAACTGCAAAATACTTGGCGATGAGTGACATAAACAGAACCCCTGTTGGATTTGTTTGTGGCATTTCAAATGCAGCTCTAAATGATCATCTTGTTTTGCCATATCAACAAATACTCATTCTTGTTAGGAACTAAAAAAAGTATTAAACATGTTTACACAGTGTTATAGGCAAAGTACTTACTCCAGGTGTGTGGCTGGTGAGATGAATGAAGAATCATATTGCAGCCGGTCTGCACTGGCTTTGCAAGCTAGAAAGACCTTTAAAATCTAGGATTTAAATGCCTTATTTTTCTATACTCTATGCAAAAAATGTGTGGAAGAATTTCTAGACTGCACTGAGCATCTGAGGAAATCCTGGTGTTACGTTTTTAAATGTAACCTTGTCACCTTCTTCATTTTTCTTGAATTGCCATGCAGAATGGATGACTGTGCTATTTGGGTATATGCCTTACTATGTATTTTGCTACAACTTTAGATGCGTGTGGCATCTTGTAGTGTGCTACTCGATGTACGCCTGACAAGAATACATTAAAAGTACAAGAGAAACTCAAATCCACGTGCTCTTCCCCATATGAGAGCAGCAACTGTAGTGAATATAGATGTCACAAAGCGTGTAGCTAAAGGAAATGGGCATGCAGTGGGAGGGGAAGAAGACAAACTTGAGCTGGAGAAAAATTGAGCAATGCCCATACTGTGAGGCAGGATGAAGGTAAGTGGGAGGGCAGGTTATATATAACCTCTGATTGCAGCGCCCTGGGTAGTTCCCTTATTTTCGCATCCTGGTTAGAAATTTCTCTTAGCATGATTACAGAATTCCTGCTAATGGAAAAAAGGTGGGTTGATAGCAAGCAGTGGGAGTAGCTTTGTGTCAAGATACTGAGGCAGAGGACAAGCCAGTGAAGGAAACCATTGAACATCTTTATGAAGAGAAAGAAAGGGATGGTGGCAGCCAGAATGTATCACCAGCAATACAGATAACAACTGGACTAAAATAGCTTTGGAATGGACACCAAAAACTGAAAAGCGCAGTAGAGGCAGCGAAAATATCTAGTAGAGAAATTGGTATGCAGAGCTGATAAGAATATCTCCCTTGTCCTAGGGAAGCGTGTGTGTAACATGGCAACAGCAGGCGTTGCATCTTATGATGATGTCTGAAATTACTACTTGCAGAAGAGCTCCTTAGGGCTGGCTCTAGTGAAGAGGTGAAGGCATAGCAATGGCATTTGCTTTTTTCCCCACGTAAGGCTTCTGTACCTCTCTTGAGGTTGATTGATTGATTTAAAAGAAAGGAAAAATCAGGTGACAGAACTCTTTGTCACCTGTGGCACTACAGTTATACCTTCTATGAAATGTCAAGAGTATCGTACGAGGTCAATCTTTTTGTTAATGGAGCAACTGGAACAGTGTGTGTTCTTCAGGGACTCTGCATAATCAGCAGTAGTACCCATTCTGCGGATTTTTGTGGCATTCTTTATCTCATTGTGCACATATCCTTGTAGCACCATTCCGAGGAAGTGTGTGGGAGAGAAACTACCCACGTTACAGCTGAGAAGTTGAAGCAAGAGATGTGTAAGGCACCAAGGGTCAACATTACCCAAGGGCTGTTGTAGTCATTCTTGCCATCTTTTTCATTTTTCCCCTTGCTGCAGGGTTGGCTCAGCTGTTTGTGAGGCAGCTGCTGAACCACCATGGTTTACAGTCCCATGTCCCAAGATAGACACCAATTTCCACATACTTCAGTACAGTAAGCTGTAATTTGTGATGGTTCAGCAGCTGCTAGAAGAGCAGCTGAGCCATCCCTTCTGTGCAGGCACAAACCACTGTGGTCACCCTCGAATGAGGGCTGGAGGGGTGGACACAAAGATATAACACAAGATAGAAAGTGACTTAAGCAATGAAAAATAAGATCATGTAAAAACTGAAACTCCAGAGGACACTCACCATCTACTGCTATTGAAATTCTTAATTCCGATCTGGAAGGTAAACTGTACACAGAGTTGTGTCAGCAAGCCATCCATTAAATATATGCCATGAAATTTCCTTGGTACGTAATCTGTATCATTATAGTAATACCTCTCTGTGACTGAATAGGCACACTCTAAATATGTCATTTGCTTGCTAGGATTTCATCTTGGCAGCACTTACTCAGAGGTGCTTCCATCCAGGGAAGCTAAAAATGTAGCTGTAATTTCTCCCTAACTCCAGTTTGTCAGCCTCTTTCCTTCTTCTTTCAAGCACTTATTTCAGTGGGCTAATTCTGTTATGAAGTGGGATGTATAGGCCCTGGAGACCAGCACCTAAATGTTATAGGAGAAGGTAAGATGAAGAAAACTCAGGCCGGTCCATCGCTTATACTTGCCTCCATTTCTGCTTCTATCCTGCTCTTTTTCTAACAGGTGTATATTTTCCTCTTAGAGAGATTAAATCCTTTGTAAAGGATCACTGTTTATAATAGTGTGTTGGAATTAACCATTCATACATGATTCAGATTTCCACCATTCATACTGTTTGATAGACTAGTAACAGTTACTGCTTCCTTTCCCAAAATGATCCTCTCCCGTCTTACTCTGCTTCCTTCTCACCTCCTGCTCACACTAAATGAGAGTTGTTAAGGAGAATAGGTAGGAAAAGTTTTGATTCCGGCATCTGGGTGCATCTTTTATTTATTTTTATTTTAATTTATTTTAAAATTATTAGGAAGTAACATCTCCAGGGAGAGAGGTTTTTTGAGCATCTCTGATGCTTAGAAAGGCTTGTGTTGATGGAAATGGATTTTCTTCTTATACTTGGAGACAAAGTCCTCTGAAGAAAATGAAGACCGTTTCACTTACTGAAACAAGTTAACCCTTGTAGCAGGACGGCTGTTTTTTCTCACTTGCATCTATGACTACTGAATATGAAGGCTGTTGAGAAAAGATTGTGGAAAGCAGATCAGAGGTCAAGATGGTCTTTGCAGATTTTTGTTTTGTCCTCACCTTGAGTCACTTGCATTGAGAAATTCTGTTTTGTATCCAGTCACTTGGTCTAATCAATGGGAAAACATGGTTTGTACCCTCTACCCACACTAAATGCTGGCGTGCTTGCAGGTTGTTGCCTTCAATGATCTAATTGTTCCAAACAATATTGCCTTCACTGATCTAATTGTTCCAAACAATATTAACGTGGCATGTAGATGAGGAGCTCTGGTGGAATGGTTCTGGAATACCAGCAAGCAGCCACAGGTGAGAGGAGAGGAGGCAGGGAATCTTTAAACTGTCTTTGCTGCTGACAAAAGTGTCTGGAACCACACAGTTAAAGCAGGGTTTTTTTCTTATTTCCTTTTTCTTTCTTTGCCTTTTTTTTTTCCCCCACCCTACCTCCATCTCCCACCCCCCAAAAATATACCCCAGTTGCTTCGCTGGGGAGAGAATAGCCACCAAGATTGAGGACAATCTGGGTAAGCAAGCCTTACACCTTTTAGGAGCTTCTACCCAGTCAGCTCTGCATGTACAGTGCCTACTGCATGTCAGTGTCTGCTCACCCTTGCACAGCTCTCTAGCTCATCTTCCAAGCTGCTGTGCTGGAGTCATCCTCGCTTCATCAGAGAACCAATTGGCCTTTAGTGCCTTAGCCCTCTCTGTAGAGCATTAATAGCTGTTACTCAACAGCTGACTCCCACCTCGGCTCCGTGGCTTTTCTCCCCATCCTTTGGCACAGTTGCATCCGCACACCCTACTGTAATCATCCATTTTTCCTCTTTGGGGGGAATCTCCCCTGCCCTGATGAGTTGCCGTTCCCCGAGTGTCTCTGTCAAGAT